TAATATTGAGCAAAAGACATAGTGGAAAGAGCGACGATGAGAGAGGGATGGTGGTGTAAGACTTTTTGGATAAGGAGTCACATTCTTTATCGCTCACTAGTTTCATCATGCAGAGAGACATGTTAACACTGTTTACTTTCAGCGAGGGGAATGCTCTCGCTCACAGCTGCACCCCAAATAAACAGTCTTGTATTTATCAGAGACAAGATAATACACATCTAATCAGAAGAAGTAACTGCAGTGCATGCATGTCCTTCTGGTTCATTCCTGGAAGACGGTTGTGCAACAACAGAGAACATTAGCACATATGAATAAAAATGTGCTAATGCCAAACAGCAACACCGCCATACACCCACACTCTCATGACTACATTTCCTCTGCCATGATGTCACAGTCTGGGATCATTCTTTGCAGATGTGGGAAGTGGGAACCAGCCCCATTAAGTGTCTGGGAAGCAATCAACACTAATGCAGTTGGCATCGTGGCAAACTGAAGTTACTAGCCATATAAAGACACAACTAGCACAGCAGCAGGGGGTGAACGTGGGGATACAGTAGTGGTATGGTGGAACTAACAAAGCATGTACACAGTGCCAAGGCTTAATTACCTCTCTAAGACATCTGTTATGAGAACAGAGTCCTGCAAGCATGTTGTTGTGGAGAAATACACCGTTAACGGCCAAGTCTCTCAGGAGTGTACGGTGTTTTGAAAGGTGCCATTTTGAGCCTTAGGCATTGTTGCCTTGTTTAAGGCCTGCTGTGTATCACTCCCTGGTTAAAGGCTGCATGCCACATGGTCTCAAATGATTGGCCAATTAAGCCAGTGTACGAGAACATCCAATGGGAAGGAAGACGACATTGCTGCTCCCATAGAAATAAAACAACTCTGTACATATCACATATATGCAGGCAGATGATTGCTGTTATCCAAGACATACTCATACTAAAGTTTATTTTTGATTAAAAGTTTAAATTCAAAGATATCACATTGGGTTAGGAGTGTCAGCAGCAGGTCAACAATTTGGTATAACATGTCTAAAATTAGTAAATAAAGCAAACATCATAATTGTAGGTCAATGGACCAGTGTTTCCTTCTGGTCGATTGACCTACAATTATGATGTAGGTAAAAAGGTCCTTCTATTTCCCAGATATAAACATGTGGAGTTCTAGTAAAAAACATAAGCCTTGGTTCTTTACTTTGTCATTTCTCTTTGAAATGATGTATTGGGGTGAAATAACATCTTATTACCTTGCGTACTGGAGAAATTCTCCTCAGCCCACACTCTTCGGCTCAAGTGCCTCCATTAACCATAGCTTATCCTATGATTTAGCCATTAGCCACAGCTCAACATAACCATTAGTTATATGAATTCAATTCGTAATGCACATAACATTACCAGTTGTATAAAAACCACTTCAATTTGTCCGCAGACTTGTGCAGGAGGCCAGTTTGCTGACAAAATACCTCCAGCTGTCATGGAGTCCATGCTTATTAATGGACATTTGCGACATTTAGTCTCTATGTAGCAATGTTTTTTTCTCCATGGGATATTATTTTATGGCAATGTATTTGGAAAGCTGTAACGTTAGACACTCCGAGATAGATTTCCACACATTTTGGCAATTCATCTTCCAACCAAAAGCACACATGAGGGAGTTTCCCGAAGATAAGGACAGGTTTGTCCAGGATTCAGTTCCAAAGAACAAATAGAGGCATGTTAGGCCCATGATGGAGGAGTTGGTAACCACAGCGTGTTTTGCATCATAGCAAAACATTCCTTTCATCAAGTCCTGTGATACTGTGTGCCTACCCTCCTGCTCTAGGCAAGGGTGTAAGGAAACTGTCACGCCTGACTCACACCTTTTCTCAGTAAAATGTCATAACATAACCTAATGTGATGATGCAGCAGTGAATCGACAGGACTCCTGCACCCAAACAACATCTGTTTCAAACTCTGATAATGTTGACAGATTCATGTGTCATTCATATAATGGTCGCAAAATGAAGAAAACCAAGGGAAAGGTAAAGCGAGTTGAAGCATAACTCCATTCTTCTCGTAATTAGTTTGTATTAAACGACGTAGTGTTTATTTAAAGGGGCATCTGCATTTCTGTGCTGACAATTTGGAATTTCCTTTGAAAACAGGACATCCTTTGAGAGTAGCAGGTAAGTGCTAGTTATGGATCTGTAGTTGTATCCCTAAAGGAATGTAATTACCCCATTAGCACAGAGTCAGTAGCCTTTTACACTCAGCTGCCTATATAAAGTTTATGTTCTCTCTATATACACAGGAACATGGAGTGAAAGCTGTGCCACAGAGTGTACAGACAGTGATGAAGAAGAGAACGGGGAAGGATGACTGGATTGTGATGGGGGCATATTACCTCCCACGGGGGCCCTGGCTGAAAGGATCAAGTTTCAGACGTTTACCAACAAAGCATCCATGGAGGAAGTCCTGCGCCCCTCACAATAACACCCCAGCACCTGGCAAACCCCACACAGGAAACCTGAGGTCACTTCCTCCCTCTCAGGGAATTCAGACACACTCCTGCTGCGAGCCACGTGCCCCCACAGCCTATTGAAGTATAGAAGAGGGCACTGACTACCAAGGGGAAAACACAGAGGGATACTACTGTACAACAAACTCAAGTGAACTTTTAAATTAAAAAAAAAAGATTCAGCCAAAATCATCTTCTAATTTCCCTTTTTTGGTCTCACATGCAGCACAGATGTTTTTTTTAATTAGGCTAAATAGCTAAAAGCTGGATTTGGTTGCATTGTTTGATTTTGGTTATAACCACATGAATAAGACGATGATGAAAACAAACTATGCACTCTAACAATGTGTAATCATTCAGGTTGTCAAAAACATGCCTCGAGCAAATGTATTTGAAACAAGCACAAGTCAAATTAATCAGATATGACCAGCCGTTTGGTTCTCATCATGTAAACCTCCTATTTTAGCGTAGCCTTACGCAGAATGTGACAAAAAGTCACGAAAACAACACAAACTGTGTCCTTCGAAACACCATGGAGGGGCAGAGAGCTGCAGAACATCAACAGAAAACTGCTGCAACAAAAATCTAAATTCTGCTCCCTAACCACCTGCAACTACTTGACCGCCGATCTCCATCATTATCGTTGGCCTGGTTTCAAACGATGCCAACGCATAAAACCAGCCACAGCCAGTCCAAGTCATTTAGCTGCAGTCCCACTGCAGTTCAGAGCTGGCCGGGGTCCAAACACCACGTGGGGCTAACCTTTGGAAAACACTGAGACCTCCGAAGAATGTGACCATGGTCAATGAAGCAGAGAGGGAGAGAGGAAGAGGAAGAAAGCAAACAAACACATTATACAGCCGTGGGCTCTGTCGAGGCAAACTTCCCGGATGCTAAATGGGATAGATTGACTGGCTTTTGGCAGCAAATTAATTATTTTCGCTTGTTACTTTGACAAACAGTTTGTGAAAGAATAGTATGAGAGACCAAATTCCTCCAAAATGTAATTTCTGTAGTAATAGATAGAGAGGAGATATGCATTATTCAAAATGTTATTTTTAGCAAGTGTTATAGCATACAGCTTAAGGAACCAGGTAGTTTAATATCAGATATGTGACCTCATCCAAAACCAAACCTGCATGAATCTCTGTGTGTATCAGATGAATTAAAGCACTAATCAATATTTTTATATTAACAATGGATCAAATGACTTGATGGAATGTGTAATTAATTGCTTATATTGATAAAAACTATCACCCGACTCTGCTATTCCCCTCATCTAAGCCTTTATGCACTTGTCAACAAGCAGCAGCAAAAAGGGTTGTACAGAGTTGTAGTGAAATCATACAGCCTATTATTTTACCCTCCCTAAGATTATGAAGACTAAAGGGTGATCCTCTTATAAAACATGTAAGATCTTGATCAAATGTTCTCTCTTTTGACAAGCCCCAACACTTTACCTTCCCACTGTGCCCACTGCGTCGAGATGACGCAACAGGTGGATCACCACACATTTGTCATGAAGATGACACAGCTACTATACGCTGTGATGTGATCATGTACGCCAAAAACAAAACTAGAGGCTGCAGCACAGACACACCCTTCCAATATGCACAATTCCATATCCCACTTCCTGCACCCGAAGAATTGACCAGTTTAGCCTGCAGGACTTTGCTCTCTGAGGCCTTCACACACTGCCCAGCTGGGAGCTTGCTCCAATGCACACGGTCCAATGCAGTCTCTTTCTCCACTGACTGGAGGCTGTTTGTTGTTTTTACCTTATTTGTGTGTGTGTTTTTGCATTACTGAGGAATATGGGAGCAGGTGTGATTTTGTGATTAAAGTGATAGGGAAGATAGAAATAAAGTCATAAACAAGGGAAGCAGACAAGCAGGCAGACTTCAGATTTCAAGATCCTCTCACTTTGTACAGGAAGTGGTTCCACTTATGTCAGGGATTTACTTCTCCCCAGGTGACGTGTTTGACTAAGGTGTGAGGCTTGTCCTAATTTCCTAATCTAATATTCATACTCACAGATTTCTTACTAAAGAGCATAACAGTTAAATCTCAAATTATAAAGTAAATATGTATTATATGTATCTCATATATCTTATGATATTAAATCAAATGTGTATTGTAATCAAAATTACTGCAATTAACCATACTACCACTACTAATAATAATAAAGAACATATAGATTCAGGAGAACTTCCTAAATTATTGTTAATGTTCATTAAATATGATCATAACGCTTCAATTAACACTAGTGTATGTCATTGATTTTCATTGATAAGCCTCATCCACAATCATAATGATGCTTTCAATGACAATTGGGGATACACTAGTTTATTTCCCCATCACCTAATACACTTTTTCTAAGTAGTTTCCGAATATTTTAGGTGAAATGTATCCTTTACTGAAACCCCACTGAAGAGGTGGGCAACATAAACGTTAACACGAAAAAAAGAAAAAAGAAAAAGGAACTAGATACAAAGTCTTACCAGGAGTATGTCTGAAGTCTGGAGGTATCTTCTGTAACTTCCCCGAGGTTCCGTTAACCCGCCTCCCTCGCTCAGGTCAGATAAGATCAGTGTGCAGGTCGCAGCTCCGGTGACTCTCGTCAGCTGTAAAACTTTTTGCGTTGCTTCTGACAGCAGTCAAATCTCTGCGGCGAAGAGTGATGCAGCTAGCCGGTTACATTTGTCCTACTACTGAGGAAGTTGCTGGTGAGTCACAAAACCCCGCCCCCCCAAAACCCCTCCCATCCTCTGTCCTACGACTTCAGACGAACCCAGAGAAGTCAGTGGAGGCTGTGATGGGAGCTGTGGTGCCGTTTATTTGCGGGCTATTCTAATATAATTCGGTTTTATTGGTTAAGTATCTTATGAGTAGGAAGGTCGAGCCTGTTTATTAATCAGATTCCGGAATAATGGAGAGCACACCATTTGGTACTTTAACAATCAGCCAACAAGTAAAAATCAAACATCTACAAAAACAAAAAGGTTTTAGTGACATAAATACATTTCTTTATAGATACATTGCAACTTACAAACTGCATTTCAAAATAAAATGACATCTTGATGCTTTGCGCTCATTCATGTTTTTATTTTGTTGGTAAATGATACATCCTTTAGTTTAACCTGTGAATCAGTGACAGTGAGTTATTAATCACATCTTTGACTTTAACCATATATTTATTTGTTGTTCCTTTCTTTTCTTTTCACTATATCTGTAAAGCGTCTTTGAGCACCTGTAAAAGCGCTAACAAAATAAATCTATTATTATTATTATTATTGTTATCTTCACTATCAAGTGACCGTTCATTGTGCCATGTTTGAACACATCTTCAGGGATTGGATTTAAAATAAGTAATAGTTTGTGTAGGAAACATTAAATACATCTAAATGTTTGAGCAATAATTACTTGCAGTCTCAGCAAATACTTCCATATAAATTGTCATTATGGAGCAACCTTGCTCTAAAGTGACCTTTGTTGACTGCCTTTTATCCACTCTGACCTTACCATACAGGGTAAAGACCAACTCAGCTGTCAAATTCCACTTCCCTTTTTTAAGGGTGTGCACCCTTTCTCCAGTCTTGATGGGTCATTTTCAAGACTCAACCAACCGGAAGTGTTGTTTATCCTGGATGCAGCTGCTGTTTTGTCCTTGAATGGATTCTTTAAATATGAATAACAGTGTGTGCTCACAACGTAGTGGGCAGAAGCAGAGGCACCTTTATTTAATCAAGGAGAAGAGTCACTGATAGCAATGTTCCCTTTTATAAGAAACACCCTGACCGTCAAACAGTTACACAATCACACCTGGAAGCTGTTGAGTACAGCCACAGTCTGATCTGGGCCTTACTTAATGACACATGGTTGGTGATAATGAAAAAGGCTTCTCACTTTTTCAAACCAGATTAATCCTGATGACACACGTTAAAGCATCTTCCCTATAACCTCTAGGCCACCCCAAGCAGTGTAATCAAATGTTTCTATTTACTCCTCCATTCCAACTTAACAAATGCATTATGCAGTGAAGGAGAACATTCAGCTGTTCAAGTTCTTCCTCGTAAAGAACAGCTGAAAGTTTCACACCAGAGCAACCTGACCTGTTTAACTGACCCTCAAGCTGTAAAAGACCCTTTAGACAAACAACTCTAAAAAAGTGATGTTGTTTTTTCAAGACAAGGGAGCGAAGGACGAGAACAGAGAGCTGGAAAACGACTCCCTTCATGATTTACACAATGTTTAGCTCCTTGAAGACGGTTAAGTCTTTAAGGAAAAGCTCTCCTCTATTTTACATTCAGTTACATTGAACTCATCTTCAAAGGAAAACAATTTATCATTTACATATTTAGCCTGGCCACGGCCCCGACGTTAATATCTTCAGACGCTCCACCGAATTTGGTGAAAAACCACTAAGTAATGGGAACACTAACGGAGCGTCCACACAGCAGCGTGCGTTGACGCTTGGCGGTGGGCGTGTCTGAAGCTTGGGGAGTCAACGCGAGCAACGCGACCAACAACCAATCACATGAATCTCCCGCCCCCGACATACAAAGCAAAAAACATTCCATGCTAGCTATACTGTCTATGCCTGCTATCTGTCCATTCAATGTTAAAACGAGGTACAATGGATATAAACTCCCCAAACAGGCGAAAACCTAGTTTCACCCACTATCTCTGCCACCTCCCTCCATGCCTGGCTCCTCCGGTTTGTATCCCGGTAGATGAACAGAGACTGATCATACAGCACCGGGTGATTCACTACCGCAATGATTATTTTCTCCTCCATTTTATGGAACATGTAGAAATGACCTGCGGTATAGCTCTCGCAGCATACACGCGGTTTGATTGGCTAGCAGTTGTACTGGCAGATTTTCATAAACGGGATTTGATTGGCTGACGCTTCCGTCGAAGCATGGTTCAACTTTTGACGCGAGCAACGCGAGGGCGAAGCGTGACGTCACCCCATTCAAAGTGAATGAGCGGAAGCGTTGAAGCTTCAACGCACGCCGTCTCAAATAATGAATTTACGCTCCTTGTTCAATTTAGAGTTTAATATTTCATTTATACATAATGTTACCGACAAATATATAGACTGCTAATAGTGATTTACACGCAAATAAGCATTAGTTTAATAGACGTAATTTTATGTATGGTATTATATTATTATTTCTTGTATTATCTAATCCTCTTGAATATTAATAACAATTACAAGTAATTATACTAGTATTGCGAAGTTTAATTTTGATCTCACATACAGTAACTAAAAGTAACTAGGTCAAGATTCTATCTATTTATACTCCACTTTAGTTTGCGATTCACGCTAAGACTTTCAGGAGGTGCGTATTTTTGAAAAAGATTCTCGACGTCAAAGGCCCCTTTATAAATCCACTTTACATAATGTGAAATGACTTTGGGTGACTCTCCACCCGTTGTATATTCAATTGTGTTTTCATCTTCTTTCCTTTGATCATACCTGGTCAGACAGCTTCCATACCTCTCGAGACCGCATAAATGCCGATGGGGTACACTGTCGTGGACGCACGGCGCACGCAGTCATCGTCATTCTATACACGTCATCACGTCTAGCCACGCGCAGCGACGATTGATGAAGTTCCTGAGACTTCGACATTGATAGACGAGCGCTCATCAGTGAAAACTCTACACTCTATCAAATCAGCATAGTGACTCTCTATACAACGACCAGCAGCTGCCGCGGGGGTTTTTTGTAGGGTAGCGAGTAAACAAGACTCGCGAAGTCCTTCCGTTTATCATCACCGCCCTCCCTCTCACCGAATAAGAAACGCCCCAGACTGACCGCCAAATAACAATACGCATAAGAATACTCAGCCTCCCGCTACCGTATAATTCATCCTTATTCGTGATCCTCTCAAGTCAATGGTAATGAAAAAATGAATTGTCGTTGGTTTAGTAGCTGCGATGTCTCGCTAGTATTTATGTCGGTAGCTATTACAGTAGTATACGGTCCATGTTTTCGACCGCACGCAACTAGTGAAGTTCGAAGACGGGTCAAGTAGAAACTTACCTCACTTAGTCTAAGCGGCTTGACGTAACACCCCTCGACTCTGGCACTCGAAGAGAGCACATCGAGCGACGTATTCATCTACGATAACAACATCAAAAAAGACGAGCTGAGTCCGCAGTCGTACTAGATCTATACAATCACGTTCGATATCGGTATTTGGCGCACGAACAACAGCGACCCCGTCTAAGTACACTAACCAAAACCAGCTCAAAGTCGAGGATGACGGCCGTTCGCTGTTTGCGTGCGGCGGCACACATCCTCGGCAATGCCGCGACA